TGCAGATCCAGTCCTGGAGAACGTTCAACTAGACTGAAAATGTAGTTTTTTTTAACTCTACGAATGAGGTTTTAACCGAAGGTTGACATTTGTACAGTTTGCTTCCCACTGGTGACTTTAGTGGTAATAAAAGTTATCGTGGACCAGAATCCACTGGACCCACCACCTGCTGAGACCTGTGGTGCAATACCAAGTACCATCACTTTATTTGGTTTTGATTCCAGTAGCAGAATAATTGCTCTGAATCTTTTCGAGAAGCGGACATGAAAGTGACGTTTCCGGTTGACACTTTTACTAGCTGCCAGCAGACGTACAGAAACAGGACCGAGTTACTCTTAACTGTAAGAAAGACGAGCAAAATAAAAATGTACGGTCACGGTTTTTATTAATGAGTAATGATATCATGTGGGTGGTGGCATGGTGGCGCAGTGGTTGAGAGCTGTTCCCTCCCACCAGAAAGGTCACAAGATCACCTCCCAGTTGGGGACCTTTCTGGGTGAAGTTTGCATGTTCTCCCAGTGCACATGTTGATGTTTTTCAGGTACTCTCCTCCCACAGACCAAAACCATTGATAACTAAATTGTCCCAGGTGTGATTAGCTTCGTTTGTCTCTACATGTCCTTATGGGGGATTTGTGACCTGTCCAGGTGTCCCCCACCTCTCACACAGTGACTGCTGGAGATAAGGCACCGGCTCCCCCGTTATCTGGAAAGGAGAAGCGGGTAAAGAAGATCGATGGGTTATATTATAACCCACATCTGTTTAAGCTCAGGTTATGCAACAGACGAAAGGTTTTTGAAGTCTTGGATAATCCGGTAGTTTGACTTCACATTTACCGTATTTTCCGGCGTATAAGTTGCATGAAGAGGAAAAAAACACATAGAAGTCACCTCGGCGTATAAGTCGCATTTATTATGCGTTTATTTAATGGTCAAAACAGCTTCATTTCGCCTGGGCGGCGCCATCCATCCATCCATCGCGGCCGGATCCGCTAGCTCTCCAGCGTTCCTCCGCCTGCAGCAGCAGAGTGAAGCGTGCACGGGAGGACTCTGTTGCAGTTCTTCGAAATTTAAAGCGTCAGTCCACAATTGCCTTATAAATACGGGAAAACAAAAGTATATAAGTCGCAGAACTGACAAATCTATGCAAAAACCTGTGACTTGTACGCCGGAAAATACGGTACTTTCCTTGCATTTGCTTTAAAAGAAGCCCTGTGGGATCATGGTTAGTTTATTTGATTCCATACACTCACCGGCCCTTTAAAACCCTTAATTCAATATATTCTTACACTTGAATTGTCAAAAACAAAGTGTTTTGTGTCAGTAATTTGAAATAGTCTGTGTCAAATAATCATCTTGATCCCTTTGCACATATCCAAGGCTGAACTTCAGCTGTGCAGCACCCTCTGCCTGAAATCTCAGGTCTTCCCCTTTTCCTGTTTGATGCTCAGAAAACATTGGAAATCAAACCACCGGGTGCCTCGATCTCAACGTCTGTTTGAAAGCTCGACTACGCAGAGAACCAAAACAGACTGCTTAAATATTTTTGGTTTGGCCAGCGAAACTGTGGTATCCTGAGAAATTGCATTTTTTGCTTTTGAGGATGAAGTTTTATTTTTTTTGTAGTAGTCTGAAGGTACAGAGAAAAGTAACTCTTTGGCACCATCTCTTGGCATTCTTTTACTATAACATTAATATTTATGAAAGAAGGACCTGGAATGTCTTTGTTGATAAAAATGAAACAACTGCAAGTTAAAATTATTAATCTAAACTGTTCTTTTTGGTTTAAGACTGAAGTATAAAAGACAATCATTTTGATAGTTATGTTTGTAGTAACTTTCAAGTGCATTATGCTTTTTAATTATATAAATGGACCATAAAGTGTATTTGTTAAAACCAAAATTAGTTTTCTCTGCGTACAGTTTTGTGTTGCAGTATGTAATGGAAGAATTTGTGAGATAAAATGCTACTTTGTGTATTTTGTGCACCTTCCTGTTAGCTTTAGGTAATAAATACACCACGGTTTGTACTGCTGAGCCAAAATGCTTCGGTGGACTTTTCTATTTAAAACATTCCTCAGCAGTTCAAAGTGAAATAAACAGTTCCGTAGTATATGATCACTTTTTTATTCAAACAGTTTTACACAAAAATATAAAACATTAAAACCAAAACAACAGTTTAGTAATGTAAAAAGTATTATGTGCACACAAAGTGGGGTTGGATGTTGATGCTAACTAGCAAAAAAAAAAAAAAAAAGAGTTACTTTTTAGGGTAGTATTATCTTTGAAAATACATGAGTAAAGTTTTTTTTCATGCTTGTGAAACTAATGTTTTAAAAATAAGTGGATTTAACAGGACATTCAAACTATCTCGCGCTAATTAGCAGGGTTCATTTAATATCCGTTAGCATGTAGCATCTACAGAACAACTTTCATCTTCCAGAAACTTAAACATATAATCTTCCCATGTCATTTTTTTTATTTTTAAACACATTAGTCAGACTGGCTGAAATTTCAGATGTATGCTAACTTAAGTTAATGTTCTGCTGTTGAGACTAAATTATCTGCAGAGGCAGTAAATAATGAAAAGTTTAAAATACATACAGATTAAAAACGTATCTCTAAAAATGTTTTTCACGGGTTGTGTTTAAACAGCTTGAGCGCTGAAGCACAAATTAACATGAAAGCACATATTTCAAACTTTCAATTCATGTTTTTCATATATATGTATATATAGGCCTATAGATACACACATACATATATATATGTATATGTGTGTATATATATATGTTTGTATTTGCACGCTTTGAAGACCCGAACAGACCACCCAGCACCAGATGAAGAGCATCTCAGCGTGACCTCAGCCCAAGTAAGGAGTACTTCAGGAGGATTAATCTGCACAAAGCCACTGGCCCAGACAACATCCCTGGAAAAGTGTTGAAGGAATGTGCCGATCAGCTCTGTGAGGTGCTGGCAGACATCTTTAACACCTCACTTACCTGGAGACAGTTCCCATCTGCCTGAAGAGTGCCACCATCATCCCAGTCTCAAAAAGCTCTACAGTGACTGGTCTGAATGACTGTCGGCCAGTGGTCCTCACCCCGCTAGTCGCTAAATGCTTCGAAAAACTGGTCATGACTCACATCAAAACAACCATCAACACCAACGAGGACCCACATCAGCATGCATACTACGAGAACCTATCAACAGAGGATGCCATCTCCTCTGTGGTCCACACTTTGCTCAACCACCTGGAGCAGAAAGACTCTTACGTCCATATGCTCCTTGTGGACTTCACGTCATGATCCCCCAAACCCTGATGGACAAACTATTCACACTAGGACTAAGCCCCTCCATTTGCAACTAGGTACTAGACTTTTTAACAAACAGACCACAGTCAGTGGGTGAGGATCCACAACTTCTCCTCCACCATAACCCTCTCCCTGGCTCTCCTCAGGGATGTGTGTTGAGCCCCCTCCTGTTTACTCTGCTCACATATGATTGTGCAGCTACCCATCCAGGCTGTCACATTATAAAGTTTGCAGATGATACAGCGGTGGTGGGATGCATCACAAACAATGATGAGTCCAGCTACAGGCAAGAGGTGGAACACCTGGAGAGCTGGTGCAAAGAGAATAACCTTCACATCAATGTGAAGAAGACAAAGGAGATGATTGTGGACTTCAGAAGGAACAAACACACCTACACCCCCCTGAACATAAGAGGATCTGTGGTGGAAGTGGTCTCCAGCTACAAGTACTTGGGTGTACACATGAATGACAACCTCAGCTGGAGCAACAACACCACCAGCCTGATCAAGAAAGCTCATCAGAGACTCTACTTCCTCAGACGGCTGAGGCGAGCTGGTCTGGGAAGCTCAGTCCTCACCTCCTTCTACAGGTGTGCAGTGGAGAGCATCCTGTGCTCGAGCATCAATGTGTGGCATGGAGGCTGCACAGCTGCAGAAAGAAAAGCTTTGCAGAGAGTGGTGAAGGCTGCACAGAAATCTGTCGGAATCAGCCTCCCCACCATCACAGACATCTACACCTCCAGATGCAGGAAGAGGGCCACCTGCATCATGAAGGACCCCACCCACCCAGCACACACACTTTTTGCCCCACTCCCCTCAGGAAGGAGGTTAAGGAGCATTAAGTGTAGAACCACTAGACTGAGGAACAGCTTCTACCCTGAGGCTGTTAGACTCATGAATCTCTAACTAGAATAATCACTGTGAAAAACCATATCATGTTGCTGCTGATCTGTTTCAATGTTGCTGCTGATCTGTTTCAATGTTGGTGTGTTCATGCGTGCACATCTGTTCACGGACTCATGTTCATGTTTGTGCTGATGTTCAATGTTTTATGTTATTAGTGCTTAGTGTATATTTAGTTGATGTTTTTCTTAGTTCATATCTTAGATGTCATTACTGTTTTTCTTATACATTTTATTGTTGGATGTAACTGGGACCCTGTGTACATAATTTCGCTCCACCACATGTACCACATGAGGTGCGAATGACAATAAAGAAACTCTGACTCTGACTCTGACTCTGACTCAAGTCTTCATCAGACGTTCATCAGACGTTCCCAAGATAGGAGCAAATAAAACGACGCAGACGACCTTTGAGAGCTGGAGAAAACTCTTCTGTCTGTGTTCTTATAAAGTTTTAATGCTATAACAATACGGGTTCACTTTGCAGCAAGGTTATGATTTTAGCTCTCTTTATGTCAGTTATTATAGAACGGTCATAGAGAGACTAAAGGCAGCAGAGATAGTGAAGTATACATTTTTCCAGCAGACTAAATCATTTTGGCGATGCGTCTAATAATGGAAGAGAAAACTACAGACTGCCATTGATTTTATGATGCATTTAATCCAATTTCTCTACAAAATCAATCAAAAGCCCCTCCCTGTTCATGGGTGTCTATCTGGTAACATGACTGAAAGAGGCTTGCTGAGACTTCTATCATAAAGTTACCAAGTTGCTCTTTTGAACGCATTATCAGGAAGCAGCAAATGTCCAGATGTCGACCTCGGTACGTACCGTGATGCTCCAGTTGATTTGGGGGACCTTGATGTGAAGGTTCAGGCTGAAGAACAGAAGAAGAACTCCCGTCACCACGAAGGCACTGCAGCTGACAAACTCGAAGAAGTAGACCCCTCCACAGACGGAGCACATCATGATGGTCTCAATGCAGATGAAACTGATGAGCGAGAGGACCTGAAGTGACGAGGAAGAGAACGTAAAGTTTGAAAAGTAGGACTTGCTGTGTAGAATAACATCCCCCACAAACATGTTGACAGTGATTTATCTAAAACTAGGTCATCAGGAGCAATTAGCAGACATTATACAATGATTGAGCCCATTATTCCAAACACTGTTCTTCTAAGTGACTGTCAGATTAAACCCTTCACAAGCTGTTCTGATTTGAAGTGCTTTTGTTTAAATAAATCAAAATTAACTTGGTGGTTGGGGTGACGAAGAACTAAAACATGGAAGTATTTACAGTTTTGATACAAAAATTATAAAATAAAATTTGATTGAACTATTTGGAGTAGCCAAAACTCCATCAGTCTTTCAGTCCTCTGATACTGAATGGCAACCCTGCTATGAGATAGGTAGGTAAACAAACAAACAAACAAGCAAATCAACCTCATTTTCATTTAACGGCTTTATCGTTTCTTCGTGTTTCTCTCTTTCTAAAGACACTGGATGACAAAAGGCCCAACTCCTGTGCTCTTGACTGACCCCTCCATTCTCTTTTCTCTTTAAAATCTGTTTAATCGTCCAAAATCACATTTTTGGATCGATAAAAGCTGCTAAGCTAAGAAGCTAAGCTAACAGGCCGACCTCGGGGAAAAAAAACTGTCTTGTCAACGCTACAAAATTCACGGTTGAAACCCGTGCCTTCGTCTAAAAAGTTGTTTTCTCTGCAAAAAGAAGCTGAGAACTTGTTTACTGATTTTTTTTTAATTAAAAGCTTTATGTGACAAATGCTATGCTAAAGAGCTCAACCACACCGAGCATGCGCCATTTTGAGAACTGAAAAACAAAAACGAGAGACAATGCATGTCACGTCAAGGGGCCTCCCTCCCATTTTTCTTAAAGAGACGCTACTCGCTTCCTCACTATCCATCCTTCGGTTCATACAGTCTTATACTGCCATCCAGTGGTAAAAAAAAGGTACTACACACAAAAATTAACCAACATTTCTTCTTAAATTAGACATTGTCAAATTTCAAACGATATTATCGTTTATCGCAATAGTTTCTGAGACAATTAATTGCCCAGCAAAATTTGTTATTGTGACAGGCCTAGCCGGAACATGGATGGCCTTTTTGAGGTCTTCAGGTACATATTTGGAATGTAGTGAGCTGCACTTCACATGTGATTAGACTGTATGGATGTATGAATAGACAGATGGATGGATGTACAGATGGATGGATGTACAGATGGATGGATGGTCAGCAGGTTGTGGTCTCATTCATAGGCTACAAATGTGACTAACAAGACTGTGGGGAAAAAAAGCTAGTGTTGCTCTGATGTCATCCTGACACAATCTGTGATAGCTGTGCCAATAATTGCTCTCCTACCCTCTCGCCAGGCTCATGGTGAGAGAGTAGGAGAGTCTGGGATGTAAATAAACAGGAGAAAAAAATAATTAAAAAGAACAAAGATCTCCATCTCTTATCCATCTTCATCAAACCTCATGGTGACCACAGGTGAGGACTGGAATGTAGACAGACCAGTAAATCAAGAACTTTGCCTTTCGACTCAACTTATTCTTCATTACAGCTGACCGAAGCAACGCCCTCATTACTGAGGTCGAGGCCCTGATCTGCTGATCCATCACTTGCTCCTTCCTACCTTCACTTTTGAATGACACTCGGATACTTGAACTCCTCCACCTGAGTACAAAGACTGTAGCAACTTTATGGTTGCCTTCCAAATGGAAGGCGTACTTCCTAATTTGCCACAATCCAGTCTTGTTTTAATAGGTTGTGTAGTCTGAAGGAGCGTAGAGGCTCATTATATCTCCAAGAAAACCTCCCATCCTGGACACATTGAGCCGGCTGGATGGCACTTTTGTCTTGCTTGAACATGTGATAATGATTAGAAAGGCTTTTTATTCTGCTCAACTAATGTGACGGGGGTCTTAGAGGCTTATTTTTGGTACGTAACAACAACAATAAAAGAAAAATATTCAAACTTCTAAATGGATATACTGCAAAAGCAAAAGCAAAACCATTTCAAAGTGTCTCACGAGTGCTGCTGCTGGCAGCCTGTGGGGATGCCTGACTTCAGCCACCATCCATCGAGAGACCAAACTATGAGAAGAATCCTGCTTTTTCTGGTGTTTTCCTTCTCCATCGAGATTAAAAACGACTTCACAGAGATACAGAACGGCTTTGATCAATCATTAGTAAAGACACATTTGGATAAATCAGGAAAAGTTTTGCTCCAAATGATTAATAGCTTTTTTCTTCCAGAAACATTGACAATCAAAATTACACCAAGCTGAACTGAAGACGACCTATCTAGAGTAAACTAAAGAACCAAGCCTTTCCTGTTTGACATGTCAAGGGAATGGCAGAGAAAAAGTGTCGGGATGTGGTCAGATTGTCCCGTTCTAAAAAGATAAGGAATGATGGGAGCTCACAGTCCTTTATTTTTTTTTTAACGTTAAATTCTTTAACTGCAAGGCCCCAAATTTAGAGGTACAATGATTGCAACGATGAGTTAAAAGAACGGAAAAAAGACAACTCAGAAGCACTAAGGTCATGGATTAAAACTGAGCCGTGATCGCTCTACAGAAATTACAAACAGTTTTTTGTTTTGCAGTGTTCCAAACAAAATCAGGACTGTTGAACAGCTCGAGTCCTCCATCAGACGAGAACGGGACAATACCTTCTAAAAACTCCAGCAGCTGGTCTCCTTAGAGCAGGGTTACTCAACTAAACTGCTCAGGGGGGCTCAGTTTCTGAGAGCCAGCAGGTCAGGGGCCGGACATCCAGCACTTAAAGCCATTATGTAAATTATCCAAGTATTACAATGATTTGTTACCTTTTAAATTTGTTTGTTTTATTCCATTGAATCATAAATGCAATAAGCAAAACCCCAAACCCAGAAACAAACAAACAAAAAAAACTCTTTTTTTTTTTTTTATGAACTCATTGGTGGGCCAGACTGAAATCCCCTGCAGGCCAGAAGTGGCCCATGGGCCACCAGTTGAATAGCCCTGCCTTAGAGGCTTACAGGCTGTTAGAAAACAAGTGGAAGCTTCATAGGGGGAAACATGGACCTGGACCAATAGTTTATTGTTTTTTTATTGTGTTGCGGTCATAAAGTTCAAAACGACTCTTCACCCCAAAGTTGTATAGTTAAAACATTTGACGTGCTTACCACATACTATTGGAAATACAATACGGATCTGCAAAGCATTGCAATAACGACTCAACTTTTTCTGAACTGAGGTTGTAAAAATGTCCAACAAAAACGAGACAAAGCTCCTCGGGGCCAACTCTCACCAGGATAAACGCTTTTCAACGCCGCTGTTCGTGTAACTCGTGTGTGTCGTTGGATAAACTGTCTGTCTGTGACAGCAGCATTACTGCAAGCGATACAACTAAATGAGAGCTAAAAGATGATGTCATGTCTCAGGAGGAAAACACGTTGCCTCCACACTTCCCTGTGGAGCAGGAGTCAGGCGACATGGGAGGAGGTGGGGGAGGACAACGCTGAATAATCTTGGAAGAAATTATCTGATGCTAACCTTCACTCCTACGCAACCAGTTCATCAAACGAGCATATCTGTCTCTATGCGCAGACACATGCTAATCTGCAGGACTTAACACACTATTAGTTGTCTTTAAAAGGTGTCCTGGACTCTGAGCCCTCCTTGTGCACCATCTGTTATGGTGATACTGCATTTGAAGAGGAAAGAAGCTTTACTGTAGACCTGTGCAACATTAAATGCTGTCCCTCTATGGGACTTCATGCAGAAAACATTAAATGTGATTCAGAGGGAACCCACAGTTGTTTGTGGGATTAAATTGCATTGGACTGAATGTGGATTAAGTTTCTGCCCAGAGGGTAAAGGAAGTGTGCATTTCAATACTCTTGTGTGCTCCTTGCATGCACGATGGCACATGATTATTGTTGTCTTTATGAATGACTTCAAGCTCTGAATCAGTAAAGTTTCAAACGCGAGGGAATTCGGCATATGGTGTCTCTTTCAGAGGAGGAAGTGTGTGCTGAAAGCATCTGGTAACTTCATTTCTCAACATTTACGGTAAAAAAAAACCTTCCTCACCAAAAATATTTATTAAACGGTCAGCTTAACAATAGGATATATACAGTGCCTTGCAAAAGAATTCGGCCCCTTGAACTTTTCAACCTTTTGTCACATTTCAGGCTTCAAACATAAAGATATAAAATTTTTAATTGTTTGTGAAGAATCCACAACAAGTGGGACACAATCGTGAAGTGGAATGAAATTTATTGGATGCGTCAAACTTTTTTAACAAATAAAAACTGAAAAGTGGGGCGTGCAATATTATTCGGCTCCCTTGCGTTAATACTTTGTAGCTCCGCCTTTTGCTGCAGTTCCAGCTGCAGTTCCAGCTGCAAGTCTCTTGGGGTTTGTCTTATCAGTTTTGCACATGGAGACACTGAAGTTCTGCCCATTCTTCCTGCAAAACAGCTGGAGCTCAGTGAGGTTGGATGGAGAGCGTTTGTGAACAGCAGTCTTCAGCTCTTTCCACAGATTCTCGATTGGATTCAGGTCTGGACTTTGACTTGGCCATTCCAACACCTGGATACGTTTATTTGTGAACCATTCCATTGTAGATGTGTCTTTATGTTTTGGATCATTGTCTTGTTGGAAGATAAATCTCCGTCCCAGTCTCAGGTTTCTTGCAGACTCGAACAGGTTTTCTTCCAGAATGGTCCTGTATTTGGCCCCATCCATCTTCCCATCAATTCTGACCATCTTCCCTGTCCCTGCTGACAAAAAGAAGGCCCAAACCATGATGCTGCCACCACCATGTTTGACAGTGGGGATGGTGTATTCAGGGTGATGAGCTGTGTTGCTTTTACGCCAAACATATCGTTTTGCATTGTGGCCAAACAGTTTGATTTTGGTTTCATGTGACCAGAGCACCTTCTTCCACATGTTTGGTGTCTCCCAGGTGACAAACTTTAAACAACACTTTTTATGG